ATACCTGACTGGTATGAAAATGTTTCCCTTGATTTTCTTTATACCATCTATGTGTTTATCCATAAACAACATGCTTAGTTTTACCCACTTTTGAACTTGATTATAAACAAAGTCATACCGTATGTGTTGGTTTATATTTTGTTTCATTAGATGAATATTTTTGAGATTCATCCAGATTGTTGCATGTAGCTATAGTTACTTTCATTTTCATACACTTCCCTTTTATGAATGTACCCTTTTCTGTCCATTCTGGTGGAAGAAATTATATTTTCTAGGAATTTGTCAATTTCATCTAAATATTCAAATTTATTGCTGTAAGGTTTATAATCTCATTTTATTGTCTGTAGAATCAGCAGAAAAGATCCTTTTTTCATTTTCTATATTGGTCATCTGTGCTTTTTCTAGGCTCCCCCATCCATTTTTCTCGGTCAGTCTCACCAGGGTTTCCCAGTTTTAATAGTCTTTCAAAGAATTAACTTTTAGCTTTGTTGCTGTCTCTTGAATGCATGTATTCTGTTTCATTCATGTTTCCTCTGTACTGTTGGGTTTATCTTACTTTTTTTTTTCCCATTGATTTTCATCCTCTATTCTTTTCTAACAGATGGGTGTCAGGCTGTAGTTTCCCCCTAAGTATTGACATATGTCTATGTCAGTACCTATATCTGTATCTACCAAGTTTTAGTATATGTTTTCATCAGCTTCTAATTTCCTTTGTGATTTTTTTTCTTTGACTCATTGGGTTGATTAGAAGTGTATGACTTACTTTCTAACCATTTTCTTATTACCTTATTGTTGCCGATTTCTGGCTTAAATGATATTGTGACAGAGAACAGACACGATATTATGATTTTAGTCATTCGAAACTTACTGAGGTGTGCTTCGTGCAATATAGTCAGTTTTGCTAAATATTCTATGTATATTTGAAAAGAATATGGATTTTTCACTTATTAATTTCTTAGTAACTAAAATTATTATTGAAATCTTTTATTTTCCCACTGATTACTGTATCGTCTGTTTGTTCTATGAGTTTATGCAAGTTGGATTAATGTACTTTTGTGATTGTGGATTTGTTATTGGTACTTCAGATATTTCCCACACCTCCTTATTGCTTTTCTTTCTTTCTGGGACTCCAACTAAACATAAAGTGGATCATCTCTTTGTATCCTTTAAGTCTCTTAGCCTCTTGTCTGCATTTTCAGTGTTTTTGACTACCTTTATCATATTCTGGTTGGTTTTTAAAAAATCTGTTTTCCAGATTAATAGCTTTTTATTTAGCCGTGCCTTAATCTACTAAGCCCATTCATTGAGTTCTTAATTGCACCTGCTTTATTTTTGAGTTCTAGAATTTCTACTGAGATGTCTTTGAAGTCCATTATGTCAATTTTTATAATTTTGTGCTGAAATTTTCCATCTTGGCTTTTATTTATTTTAGCATTATAAGCATAGTTTTTAAAAAAAGCCTGTCTTTGGTAATTTCACTATACCATGTCCTTTTAGGTTTGTTTCTATTGTCTGTTTCTTTTTTGAGTTTTGTTTCCTTGTGCCCAGTTAATTTTGACTATGTGTTGGATGGATTTGCCTAAATCATCAAATGCACTCTGTGTCCCAATTTCTTCTGTGAGCTCTTGTTTTCACTTAGATACTATATTAGTCTGGTAATTCCTTATTACCTTGTGAGCTCTTTAATACTTAAACAATTTTAAAAATAATATTTTATCCAGAATTTTATATAATTTTCAGCGAGTGAGTTGGTCTTACTGTATTCCTGCAAATGGAAGTCCCAGTTTACTTTTGTGTTAAACATTTTCTCCCATATTCCTCCCCACCTTCCCCCACCCAAAATCTAGACTGTTCATTCCTTGAGGGCAGGGCCTGTGTCTTAATTGCTATTTTATCAGACAGATAACTGATGAGGTGAGTGGATGGAAAACTAATTGGAAAATGCTATTTGATGATCACCTGATTCTCTCACCATAATTTTTCCTTTACTTAGGGAGAAACTCCCCAATGCTAGCAAACAAAATCTCCCTGCCCAGAAGTTTCCAAAGTATAGCAGAGCATCTTACCCTGATACCCTTCTTTTTATTCTCATCTCTCTGGAGATAGAAGGCACTTCAAGAGCAGGGGGAGATCAGAATCGTCCAGCTAGGCTTCGACTTGGATGCCCAAGGAATTATCTTCACTGAGGACTACAGGACCAGAGTGCGTGTGACTGTGTTTGTGTCACTGAGGCCGGGGGAGGGGGGTGCCGAGAAATTCGGGAATGCACATGTTAAAAAAAAGAGACAATTACCCCACCTCAAATCTTACTGAGAAGGCACAGGGCTCTGGTTAATTATTAGTATGAGGAGGAGGAAGAGTATGAGAGGGAGAAGGACTTGAGCAGAAGGGAAAACATAGGAAGAGACATGTTGTCGTGGGTTCGGAGATTGGTGGAGGGTGAAAGTGGGGCCAGACCACATCTCTCACTTCTGGTTCCAGGTCCTCAAGGCTTGTGATGGGCGCCCCTATGCTGGCGCAGTGCAAAAGTTTCTGGCTTCGGTGCTTCCAGCCTGTAGCGACCTTAGCTTCCAGCAGGACCAAATGACACAGACCTTTGGCTTCAGGGACCCAGAAATCACGTGAGACCTGGGGGACCAACAGAATCAGGCATCTGGCCTATCCCTCCCTCCCTCCAGCCCTATCCAGCCTTGTCCTCTTCTTTTTGGTGAACTAAAGTTCAAATAAAATGACCTAAGTTTATGTTTCCCCAAGAGAAGAGGCCTGTCTTACCTGGGGCCTTGGAAAGAGCCCTGGAGTAAAATTCAGGAGATCTGAGTGGCTAATCAGATACAAAGGGAGGTCTGACAGGAACCATAAAGGCCAGATGTGAATTGTGCTGAAACCAAGAAACTAGAGGATGGTAGGGACTCTGATGCCCCGAAAGCATTCACGTTCAAAAGAACAGCAACCAAGCAAGGGCTAAGTAAGAATATCATTTCAGGAGCCTGTGTCTGGCTCAAGCTCCCTGCTTCGTAACCCATGGTAGACGTGAAAGCATTTTACACTCCTTTTCAGTACAATGTGGGAAGAGCTATGGTAAGGTCTGCGTAGGTAGTGGCAGGAGCCTTGTTTCTCCCCTGGTGGTGGGACTGAGTGCGTTGGGGCATGTAGTCAAGGAGGGCTTCCGAGAGAAGCTGTCTTAGTGAACGTGTAATAGTAACAGGAAAAGAAGGAGTTGGGGGAGGGCAGTCAGGGAGGAGAATGGAGCGAGCAAGAGCACGGGGCACTGAGCAGCATGGTGTGAGCAGAGAACTGCCCCAGGTGGGCTTCTCTTATTCAGTCTCCTTGTGTGGGTACTCAGGCTTCTGGAGACTTAGTGTCCAAAGATGACCAGGTGAGGAGGAGAGAGGGTTCTTAGAGCCAATGCCTCATTTCTCCTGCCTCAGGCAGCTGGTGAATGCTGGAGTCCTCACTGTCCGAGATGCTGGAAGTTGGTGGTTAGCTGTGCCTGGAGCTGGGAGATTCATCAAGTATTTTGTTAAAGGTAGCCTGTCTGCAGCTAAAGCCCGCAGCCCCTCAAGAATGCCTTTTGGTGACTCCTCAGGCCTCCAGGCCTCACTCACCTTTCCCCTCTCCTGTGCCACCTCTCCTCCAGGGCGCCAGGCTGTCCTTGGCATGGTCCGGAAGGCCAAGTACCGGGAGTTACTCCTTTCGGAGCTCCTAGGCCGGCGGGCACCTGCTGCGGTGAGACTTGGCCTCGCCTACCACGTGCATGACCTCATTGGGGCCCAGCTGGTGGACTGGTGAGTCTCACCCCCAGTGTCTGGCAGATGACGGGTCCATGACCCAAAGGTTGGATTCCCCCCGACTCACTCTTCATTCAGTAGTGAAGAAGCCTAGCTCCTCTCTCATTCTCTGGAACCCAGGCACCTCTGTGGCCGAGTTCTGAGTTCCCCCCAGACCCTGGGCCTAGGCATCTGGCTCAAGCCTTGTCTCTCTTGCAGCGTCTCCACCACTTCTGGAACCCTCCTCCGCCTGCCGGAGACGTGAGGATTCTGCTCGTCATGGCAACCTTCCCCAGAGTGGGGAGAGGGGGGCCCAGGAGTGCTGAGATGGGGTCACCTTGGGAAGGCTCGGGAGCCACGATGAGTGTTGGGCTTGCATCCGTGCAAAGGGTCAGATGTGACTGCTGCTGTTTACCTGGGGTTTCGGCAATGCTCCTTTGCCCTTTCACTGAAGTGGAACCAGAAACCGGGCCAAGGCCATGGCCGCTGCCTTTCATGCAGTGAGGTGCCGCTGCTCTGTCTTGACATGGGAAGGAGGGGTTCCTGGGGAGGCTGGTGAAGGACAGCAGGGTTCTTCCCCTATATGTTGGCTTGAAACTGCCAAATAAAGTACTTCTGCCTGTGATATTTGCTGGATGTCTTTTGTTTAACGTGACAGGTGTGTCCAGGTGCCTCATTTGGGGATAGAGGTAAAGCCAAACTTGGGCCTGAGCTTTGCCTCTTGGTTCAGAGAATAAAAAAGGACACTGAGTTCAATTCCCCTCACGGGGTGGTGAGGGTGCGCCTGATCTCCTAAACCACAGAGTTTCTGTTAAAGCCTACAAAAAGCAAAAACTTCGCGTAGTTGTTTTTGTGGGGGTTATAGCGAGAGGCAGGTGTCTAAGTACCTTGCTTTGTTAAGACCGACAAAGGAGTCAAGCGGCTCAGCAAGCAGCTGGGCCCTCGTGCACCCATGTACGTGTATACGTGCTGTACTCGAGCATGTGTATGCTTACACACACCCAGATAGACCCAGTAGCGGGAGGTGCCCAGGAAACTGGGATGAAAGGGGTTAACAGGGAAGGACTGGCTATCTCTCTGGGCCATGATTTCCTCAGACTCCCTCAGAGACCCAGGTGTCCCGGGTCCCCCCCCCCCAATACTGGGCCTGGGGCCAGTTGCAGTTCTTGGCTGTCACGTGCTTTCCCGACTTAGCTGGGCCAGGGGAGGAGCAAGGTCCAGAGTCAAATATGCTCCAAGCCCGAGGTTGACCAGAAGGGAGCAGGCAGGCAGACGGGTCTGATCCCTCTGAGGTGCTCCAGCCATGAGGCTCCTCCTGGGGCTGATCTGGGCATCTGGCTTCTTCGCCTTGTCTCTGCAGAAGTCCAGGTCCTGGAGGCAGGATGCTGGGTGCTTGAGCGGGGCCAGGGTTGGCGAGCGGACAGCAGGCGCAGGGGGACCTGATTCAGGAGCCAGGGGTAGAGGGGCCCTAGTGGAGGCTGGCTGCTGACCCTCGCCTGTTCTTCCCAGGTTGCTCCTGTTTTCTCCTTCTGTGGTTCACCTAGGGGTCCCCCTGTCAGTGGTGGTGCAGCTCCAGGATGCTCCTCCCGGGCAGGTAGTGACAGGATCAGTGTTCCTGAGAAACCCGTCCAACCATCGTCATCTCTGTTCTGCGGAGGTGGATTTCACCCTCAACTCAGAGAAAGACTTCATACTCCTCAGCCTCCCGGTAACTGGCCACGACGCCCTCTTGTTTCTGCCCAGCATCTCCCACTCTGTTCTCCTCTGTCTTGTAAATGTCTTTGTCTTCTCACTGGCCCCTCTCTCCTTCTCCTACGTAGTCATCTTCCCTGTTTCTGTCTCAGTCTCTCTTTTTCCTTCTGCTCTGTCTCTGACCCGCTCCCTCTCCTGTTCCCTTTTGTGACAGATCTCCCTGAAGGATGTGAAGGACTGTGGCCTCCATCTCCTCCGCAGAGCCCCCGAGGTGCAGCTTGTGGTCCAGTCGTCATGGCTGAAGAACTATCTGTCCAAGCAGACTGACAGGCAGGGTGTCAACCTGTTCTTCTCCTCTCGCCGGGGCCACCTCTTTCTGCAGACTGACCAGCCCGTTTATAACCCTGGCCAGCGCGGTGAGTCTTGGCCCTGGGGCCTCCACCTTTCACTCCTTCCCAGCCCCCTGAGTGAGAGCACCGGGAAGGCGCCCCACAGGAAGGCTGCTTTGCAAATATTTGTTCTCCTCTTCGTCACTCCCTGGAAGGGGTGGGGGGCCCAGGGCCCACCCTCCGTTGGCACCCTCCGTTGGCACCCTCCCTTGGCACGTGGCGTCCCGCTCACCTCCTCGCCCTCCATTTCCAGTTCGGTACCGAGTCTTTGCTCTGGATCAAAAGATGCGCCCATCCACTGATACCCTCACAGTCACGGTGGAGGTGAGTTCCCTACCTCTGATCTTCCTGACTGGCCAGGGCTGCTGCTCTGACCTCCCATTGTGACGACTTCTACCCCCATTGCAGAACTCTTGTGGCCTCCACGTGCGGAAGAAGGAGGTATATGCTCCCACCTCCATCTTCCAGGATGACTTTATGATCCCAGACATCTCAGAGTAAGTGCTCCCCACCTAGGGCTTGCCCCCACCTACGCCCTGTTCCCTTGGCTTTCCACCTCCAGCACTTAGCCATCCCGAGCTCCCGTTAGCCCCTGGTTCACCCCTGAGGTCCTCTTCCTAGGGAGCCAGGCCACTGGCTCTCCATGGGCCTCTTGTACACATGGGCTGAGTCTCTCCCTTGTTGTCCTCAGGCCAGGGACTTGGAAGATCTCAGCCCGATTCTCAGATAGCCTGGATTCCAACAGCAGCACCCAGTTTGAGGTGAAGAAATATGGTGAGAGCTGGAGACTCCAGGGACAGGCAACTCCTTTCCTGCAGGGAATAAGGGGTGGGAGGAGAGAGGGTAGGGGCAAGGCAGGGGCAGGGAGATGTGGCTGCCACAGCGCAGAGGGGCGGGGAGTCTTTAAAGGGCCCTTTCACAAGGGTCTGACCCTCCCTTTGCCCTGGGTCAGTCCTTCCCAACTTTGAGGTGAAGATCATTCCTGAAAAGCCCTACATCCTGACAGCACCTGGCTTTCTCAGTGAAATCCAAGTAGACATCCAGGCCAGGTAACTGCCCCTGACCCCCAGGCTGGGCCCTGCTCCCAGGGCTCCCCATTCAGTATGAACATGCCATGGAACTCCACTCCCTTCTCTCGCCCCAGCCCTCCTCCCTCCCAGACCATTCCATTCTTTCCTCTGGCCCTTAGCCCACCCTCTTCCAAATCTCTCTGCCATGGCAGGTACATCTATGGGAAGCCAGTGCAGGGGGTGGCATATGTGCGCTTTGGGCTCCTGGGAGAGGACGGTGAAAAGACTTTCCTTCGGGGGCTGGAGCATCAGAGCAAGGTAGGAAGGAGGGAGGGGATGCATGCGGTAGGTGAGGAGAGGGAGGGAGGGTGAGGATGTGAGGCTGGAGACTAAAGGTCTCTTCTCATCACATGTCCTGTCTTCTTTGCCCCAGCTGATAGATGGCCAGTGTCGCATTTCCCTCTCAAAGGCTGAGGTTCAGGGTGCGCTGGAGAAGCTGAGTATTAATATTAATGACCTCCCAGGGCAGCGCCTCTATGTGGCAGCCTCCATCATTGAGTCACCAGGTGAGTGGCTTCCCCTGGTTATAAGCCCAGACCCTCGCCTCTGACCTCTGAGCTGACCCTCTGTTCTCCAGCACTGACACCCGCTTTCTTCCCCTCATCTGGGACCCAAAGCCAGGAAAGACCCAGGAGACTATCTCTCTCCAGCTGCATTTCTGGGTGGTTTCTGGGGAAGTGGTACCTTCCTCCCATCTCAATTTATTTATTTTTTTACCCACACATCCATCCATCCACCCATCCATCCACCCATCCATCCAATCATCTGTCCATCCACACATCCACACATCCATCCAATCATCCATCCATCCATCCATCCATCCATCCATCCATCCATCGATCAGACACATGTTACATACCATCTGTGTGCTGGGCCCTGTGTTGGCCTCGGCAAACATAGAGACCAACAGGAGGTGGCCTGTCCCCTGAAGTGTTCAGTCTTGTGGGTGGGAAACACTCGAGCAGCCTCCCGCTGGCTCTTCTTCCCCTGTCTTCTTGGGTCTCTGTCCTCCACCTCCCTCCACCCTGTGTCTTGCAGGAGGGGAGATGGAGGAGGCAGAGCTCACATCCTGGCGT